CGATCAACTGATTCACTGCTAACAAAACGCTGTTTATCATCCTCTTACTTGCGTGATCAAATGAATACAGAGAATTTACATCATACTGCCCTTTCAAACTGCTTGTGAACTAAGAATGCAAACATTTATGAACAGCAGTGTGTGTCTGTGTAATAAAGGGGAGTAAATCAGAGAATCATAGAATACTTAGGGTTGGAAAGGACCTTAAGATCATCCACTTCCAAACCCCTGCCACGGGCAGGGACACCACACACTAAACCATGTCACCCAAGACTCCGTCCAACTTGGCCTTGAACGTTGCCAGGGATGGAGCATTCAGAGTTTCCTTGGGCAACCTGTTCCAGTTCCTCACCACCCTCACAGCAAAGAGCTTCTTCCTTATATCTAACCTAAGGTAAGGCTTGCATTTCTAAATGCACTGTTGTAGCAATGATTCTTGCACTAAATCAGACTATAGAGTACACATCAACTCTGTAATAAATTTTTTTTCAGATGGGTTATGGCTAAGTATACCACATCTCTCAAGAGACTTTAGGGTATTTATGATTCTAATGCAAATATCCTGAACTAGTATCTTCAAATCACTATGCCAACATGTAATTTTCTTAATCCTTATTCCAAGAGCTCAGAGACAGATTCTGCAAGTCTTGAAGAGGTCAGTTCCCAAAAAAATTTTTACTTCTCTTACATACATCTTCTCATTTTCAAATAATTATTTTCAAAACGTAATAATTAGAAAAAAATGAAAAGTATTTTCCTAAACACAACTACCTTCTCTAACAATTAAGGAACAATTCAACAAACACCTTAACTCCTCCATAATGAGGGTTGAGTCTTTTTTTGACAGCCTAGGTCATTGAATTAGGACTTGAGTTAGTTTGCAAGCACAGCAAATACTTCCACTCACAAATACTTTCTCTGTTACCTGGGCAACCTGGATTGGTACGCAATGCTTTCTTGTAGTAAGCAAGGGCTCCTCTATAATCTTTCTTGTTGAAAGAAATGCATGCTTTACCTGTTAATAACACACCAATTACAAATAAATCAGAACAATAAACAAAGCAGTTACAAATCAGAAGCTCCTAAGTATTAAAGTTGTACTGTGCTGATTTTCAAAAGTTACCGTTAAAACCAGGAAATTCAGACAACTACAACTTATTATTTATGATGACGTCAAGCACATGGAAAAAAATAAAAAAAAAAAATCAAACATGGGAACATACGAAGTTACTAAATTCACTTTTTCATGGGTTTCTGCAGAAACTTAATTCCTTCCTGGTCCAGAGGAAAGACACTTATTAAAACTAGATTAATTAATGAAGAAGTTAAAATCCATGTGTTACAGCCCATCACTACTGTTATCGTCACCTTCAAGGGAGTCTACAGCTTCACTTGCACCATCAGGGAAATACAAGTAGTTGGACTGGATATATACCCATGGGTCTCAGAAAATGCTACCTAACAGTATACTTTTTCCTAGGTCTTCCACCTACATATACTCTGCAAGTTTAAATCTCTGTCATGTGTTTCTGGTCAAAAGTGCCCACTTCTTGATCACATTTTCATCTCGCATATGTACTCTTCTTAAGCACATGATTCATTCCAAAACCAGAGAGACCAAGTTTTTACACAAATACCCACAAACTCATACCAAGAAGGGCAGGAATATTATTTGGAGACTGGTTGAGCACGAAGTGGAACTGTGCATCAGCTTGGTCCATCTTATCTCCTTCAAGCAGACAAAAGCAGGCTCTTCCCAACAAGTGATTCTAGATAAGGAAAAAATTGTGACACATTCATCTTTGTAAAATATGAAGAATTAGACCACCTGAAATATTAACTGGCTATGTCATAATGTTTTCTATGATTAATTTATTTCTCTTACATCAGGAAGAAAAATAAAACAAAAAGGTTCTTTATCATCCACTTCTAAGGTTCACATATTATCAAGATAGTAACAACCAATCCTGCCTCCCCAACCAACCAAAGTTGACTAACATAGCTTATCAGGTGTCCCAAGCTAGAGATAATTATTCACGGTGGCACTGCACACATTTCAGATACTTAAAAGTTTTGCTTATATATGCTACACTAACAGACTTCAAAGCCTAAGCAGTTTCTATTTTCCTTTTAGTGAATCAATACTCGTGGGTTTTTTTACAATCACTGGATAATTTAAAAATATGTATTTTTAAACTGACTTTGGTTTTTACCTGATCATACATGATAATTTTGTCAGCCATAGTATATAACAAGGTAGCTTGTGTGATGAGCTCCTTCTTGTTATCTTTGTTCTTCTCCTTCCGAGCCTGCTGTACATAGTACGCTGCCAGAGTATCCAGACACGTCATTTGGTCTTTTTCATGGTCTCTGTAGTCCAAGTTACCATCTATGCGTGCAGCTTCCAACAGCTTCACAAAGTCTTCTGTTTTTCCTTGTTTGTAGTATTCCAGCTATAAAACAAATAGTTTTATCAGACAATACTACTCCAGAGAGTAATATATCGAGCTGATGCTTTACGTGCTACACAGATTCTTTTTCCAAAATGTAGAAATAAATCAGACATAAATGTAGGGATATATCAGACATAAACATATGGATAATCATACAAAGGCATTCCAATACCACAAAATATTTTTCTGTCATCATACCAACTTTGTATTTTTACATTAAAACACAAACCTTACAGCTGTTTATAAGTGAAAGATGAACTGGTTTTCCTCTGAACTTCTTTGACTTTTTGCATATTTCACCGTATCTATGGTATAGATATGGCACCCTCCTCTTTCATGAAGTGCGAAATCAAAGGCACAAACCAGAAAACTATGGGTTGAGGGGAAAAAAATCACACACACACAAAAAAAATCAAACTTAAAAAATCAGGCCTCAAGCAGCATTGTTTCAAGAAAAAAAGGTGTAATTAAAATCTTTATATGCATATGTCAAATCCAAAATATCTGGCCTAGAACCAGCGACTGAATAACTCCATTCAGTTCCTGCAGAGTTCAGTTATCCCTGGTCTTAACAGTAAGCAAGTGGAAGTTATTCTTTGATTATTTAAATATAATATTTAAATATATAATTTGTATATATACTAACCGCTAAGGCAATCCATATGTGCAGTTGAGTATGTTCCTGTTTCAGTATACTTATAACTTCATCACCCTCAGGTAACTGATCGAAGTCAAGCTCAATAACCTAGAACCAAACAATACAGATTTTCTTTTTACAAAGCATTAACAATCATAGAGCTCAAAGGAACCTGAACATTTCACTGCAACAATTACTTGTGTTTAAACAAGGTTATGGACAAAGAAGGAAGTGATAATGTATTGTATTCTGTACAAACAAAAAGTGATGGCTTTTCACAAATGTCAGAGAAAAGACAGTTCCATGCTTAGGATACTAGTTAGAGAAAATAAGCAGAAATGCTTTCATATTAGTCATCTACATTACAGTTTAATTTTACAGCAAGGAAGAGATGCAGTTGTTGTACCCAGGCTTGTACCCCAATTACCAGTGCAGGGACTCTTTCTCCAAGGACTGGATTAGAGCAATCCAGTTCATAAGGGCTTATAGTTTTGACTACATGAAACTCGAGAGTAGCAGCAAAAATATTTCTGCTACTATTGGATTTCCTGTTTGACAGATAATGATGTTTTTAAATGTGGGCAACTCTCATTCATAATCTAAAATAATTATTAATGAGAAATAGATATCACCAACACAGCAAATAAATATGGAAGTTAAAAAAGGTCGTTAAAAAAAAAAAGGATTTTGTAGCAATCTGTAGTGATTAATTCAGAACTTCAGCATCCAAGTAGTCCTAGCCATAACTCGAACAGCAGCACCAAGAAAAACTACTCATGTTGACACCTGACATAAAAATTTCTATCACAGAAGAAAAGGCCCTCCAACATGTAGCCTCCAGACAGCAAAGTACCTTTCTGAGACTTAACTCAATGGAAGTTATGGAAATTTGTCAGAGTACAAATACATATGTTCACAAAAATACGTTCTTCAACTTAAGAGGCAGTATGTTTCATTATCTTATTCAGCTATAGTATTAATTTAGTACCTGCTATGGAATGATTTAACTTCCAACTTTGTAATACCCTGTGAACTTCTAAATATTTCTCTTAAGACGTTTTTAACCTTGGCTTGTGACAATCTACCTTAAGAAAAATAAATTTCTAAACCCACACTGAAGTAACTTTATAGAGTTGATAAACTATCCTACCTGTGTCTATATGCTGATTTAGGAACATGCACACTACTTACAAATCAGCGCAGTCACGAAAATCAGCATCTAAGGAACTAGGGAGAGAATTTAGCTGGACAAGGCCACCATACACAAGCCCAAAGTGAAGATCAGACACTGTTTCCAGCAGGGCCATCATTCCTGAAGGTTGCATATGCTTTAAGTATATACTATCGGAGAAGAGGCTGCCCCTTCCTCACCGACGTGTGGTACCGAAAGATTCCGAATAGACTGCCTGCCCCCCGCGGCTCTCCGCCAGCACCGAGGCACCAGGCAAGGACAGAGAAATGATTGCTTGCAGATAGCAGACATCGTTCACCAGATGAACCGAGGTTTCGATTTCTCTCCGCAAAGCAATACACCTGTTTGAAGCAACTTCTTCCGCTCAGGGAAGGGAGCTACCGTCTCCCTCGAGCCCGAGATCCAACTAGAAGAGACTACCGCCTGCGCCCCGTCAAGCAACACACAGCGCGCTCTTTCCTTCCTCCTCCTCGGGTCCAGACCCCGCTACCGCCACCCGCCAGCCCCCGACTCGCCTCATCGGTGTCCCGGAGAGGGATCTCAATAGACCCCCGCGACATGATGGCGCCTTCACTGCCCGCCGAGCCGCCTGCCCGTCGTAGCCACCGAGCGCGCACTTCCCCTCACAAGCACCAGCTGACCCGGACGTGTTCGGGCCAAGGCGGAGGGAGGTGGGACGAAGGCTCCGCCCCCCGAGGCACGAAAAGCCAATCGTAGGGAGCCTCGAGCGTCGCTTTGCTCCCGTGAGCGCGCGGGGTTCTGTTGCTACGGCAACGGCTTCCTCGTGGCCGCCCTTCAACAACGAACCGGGCTGCTGGAGGGAGAGTTGCGTTTGGAGGAGTCAGGCGCCTACTTAAAGCGGGAACAGGCTCCTCAGGATGGAGCGAGGGCTTCTTGGGGACTTGCAGGCAGGTATTAGTCCTGCTAATTTCTACATATGGACCACTTACCTACAGAAATATATATAATACCCAGAAATAATGCTGTGCGTTTACACGCTCGTAAATTGAATAGATTTACACCTGGTTGTTCTGGTCTTCATACCATTGTGAGGTATATAGGAATGATTCGTGTCAGCAATTTAGGAGTACTTGTCATCTTTGTACTTTGGGTGGAATCGAAAATCGTGTAGAATGTATAAGAATGATCAGATTAAGATAGATGTTCCTGTCGATACAATGAAGAAAGAGAAGGAACAAAGGAATAATCCTTCCTAATCAAATGCTTTGTTACTTTAAGGGGTACTTTAACTACTTGAATGTCTCAAAGGCTTTGCTAATTACAGGGGTATTTTGTTTAACTGCTTGAATGCCTTGAGGGGGTTAGGTAATCAAGAGATACATCCTGTTACAGGATGAGGTGAAACTTGTGTATTGAATAAGTAACTATATAAGAAATGGAATTTAGGGGGGCTAAGATGGTGGTTAAGCTTGTGACAGACATCCCCCGTTAATGTATTGCCAAGGAATTCAATAACTTTTTAAGAAGTTTCTTCACCCAATGATAAGACCCCAGCAACAGGAGGAGAACAGTGAAAAGGAACCACGTCGGGGTGAAGGAGACGACAGGACTGGTTGAAACCCAAGACCAAGGAGTATAAGAGACTGTACCCCAGAAATCTCGGTGTGTGTCTTGGGTGGAGAGGAGACGCCCCGGCGCACCCAGCGCTGCTTGCTTATTGCCTCTCGATATCAATCAATTGTAATAAAAAATTAATTAGATCATGGCCAAGATGGAATTTTTATAACACCATGACTCCCTCAGGCTGTGCCTCATCTCATGTCATTTTAAAATCGTTAAAGATTTCCAACTAAGTGCATTAAAATGCGTGAATTTTCCCTGTCTTCATGGAAAACAGAACAGTGTGTAAATCCGGCTAACTTAAGTGGTGTAAAATTGTTATTATATGTTTGCAAGTTTTTTTAGCCACAGTTTGCCCACCTCTTTTTAAATTATCTAGTTTATTTTTTAACTAAGAATACTGAATCTGATAAAATTCTGAATCCTGAACGTGGGCCCTGACCCTGAAACTTGTTTTCTGTGAGGCCTTAAGCCATATGGAGGTGCATGAGTAAAGAAGAAATTATAAAATTGGGTTCCTAAATTATTTCTTTCAATGGTGATGGCAGATGCACTGATGTATTTGGATAAAACACGTTGTGCACGGTAACATACAGCCAATCTTAGTTATTTTTGCGTCTATATCAAAGGAAAAAGAAAAAAGGTAGTAAGACTGAAAGATCCTCTGGCACGTTTCTAAGATTTAGAAAAAACCCACATCTGTGATGTATCAGTTAAAAAGCGTATTAAACCCTAAAACAAACTTAATTTTGTCCCACAGCTAACCATCCACAGAATACTGAATTTTTACTGAACTGATAGTCATAACTGTAAAGCATTAAATTACTAGATTTTATTTTAAAAATTATCTATGGATTACTATGATACTGTATATTATAATAGTAATGACTAGCGTACTTGCAATGTCGCCTGTTCTCTGAAGCCAAAGCAAGTAGCATTTTTAATTATTTAACATTTTGAATCTCAATTTATTATTTTTCTTCATGCACTAATTACTCTGAACTAAGTTACCTGGTCCAGTGAAGTGTAACTAGTACTTCTTTTACTCATATAAGTCTTGGAATAGGTATGTGCTGTAAATACCTTTTGTAGGGAAACTTTTGCCTGTGACAGGAAGGCAGGATGACATTAAAATTAATAGGAGTCAAAGAGTACATTTCTGTCATTAAAAACATGCCGAAAACAACATTATGCAGAGCAAGAGGCTAATTAATAGAGTTCCTAAGCCTGCTTTTCTGATTTATAGGCTGATTTTTCACAAACAAACTACTTTTTTTATATTTTAATTATTGTTGAAGCAATTTGGATGGAAAAGGCAGTCTGTTCCTGAGGTTTGTTCATCAGTTACTGTCTGTAGTAAACTGACTTTCCTGATGGGGAAAAAAAGAAAAACAAAACAAAAGCTAAAGAAACCCAAACCCCAAAACCCACCAAAAAAATCCCAGTTTAAATTAAAGATTATATAAGGTCAGGCCTTAAGAATATTAAACCAAAGTTAAAGAGGGAAAGTAATTCTTACTTCCTGGTATAAACCTACTAGAAGCATTTTAAGTTGTTTAAAGTTTTATTACTCTACTATGCAAGCTATTGTCTTTTATATTGTTTGAAGGATGATTCTTTTTTTCCACATACGCTTATAACAATAAAACACTATAGGGGTTGTAGCACCTTTTTAAATTAAACTTTTTAAAATTTAGTAAAATATTGTTCTTGTGAAAAGAGGTTGGGTTTGTTTTTATTTTTCTTTCTTTCTGTGTGCTTAGCAGCATTTCCAGAAGAGAGTTGTTTTATATTGCTGCCTTTTGTTTCTATTTCACTGAAATCTATTATTATGAAAATTTAAATTACTACTGTCAAACTTGGCAGGTTGTCAGTATCAGAAATGCTTATATAAATAGCAAGTAATATATAGCAAATTGAACTTCCACTTGTGATATGTATAGTGAAAATAGTATTTTAAAACTTCATTACCACATATAATTAGAAGCCTTTTTCAGGAATGAAAATTGAGCTTAACTAAGTTCCTGTAATAATGTATAAAAAAGGCCTATACCTACCTGACATACTACTCTTTGCAAGCAAATTACCATTGATGTTTGAGGTGTCTGTGTTTAAATAAATAAGCCCCCATCTTCTGGTTTGGTGGTCAGAGCCGTGTATTTTAGTAGCAAAGTTTCTTTACTTTTGATTGTTATTAAAAAAAACAAACCAACCCAACCCACCTTTTTTTCAGAGATTTCTTAAGAATAAGGATAGGGACACTTTTAGAAATCTTCAGACTGCAAATTAATTCTAACAGTGCAAATCATCACTTGTTGACAGTAGTCAACAGCAGTCACAACAGTGCAGTAGTCACTCATTGACCTTCTCATTCTGAGCTGTGAAAAAAATGAAGTCCAACACTGGTGGTTTGAGAGCTCAGCATGGTGCATTAGGGAGCCCTCAAGGAGGAAACCCAGGAACTGAGCACATACAGACAGCAAGGCAGGGGCTTTGCAAACTGAGACCCACCCTAGAGTTCCTGAGCAGGGCAGGCATCAGTCAAGTTCACAGTGGTGAGGCAGGTCTGAGGTCAAGCTGGAAGTGCCAGGTATTGATGCAGAGTCTAGCACAGCCCAGTAATTGACAGACAGGTCCTTATTGGCAAGGCAAGACTAAGGTAGAAATCACCCCTTGGGTACAAGTCCAAGTAAAGAGAGTCTCTAGGTAGGGAACCTTAACTGTGACTGAGCTAAAGACCAGCATGCTTCGAATGTAACTTGGAGCAGAACTGTGTCCTGGCCTGAGCTTAGGTGGAGCTCCTGGGCTCCTAGGCAGTGATATGGCAGGATACATCATGTTGGGCTTGTCAGGGCTATTAAACCTTATTAATGCTCTTAAGGCCCTGACATGGTATATGTATCTTGAAGATAGTAAGCAGGTTTAGTAAAATGCTGGGTTGGTTGTTTTAGGAAGCACTAAAAATGGGCTTAATAGTATAAGTTATTTTATTAGATAGTTTACTATTTTTATATTTTTATTTTTATTTAGTTCTAAAGGCTGCTGAATTATCCATGTATCTCAAACTTACTACAGTAAGGCATTAAGAATCTGAACTGCTGCTAAGGAAGCAGAATATTAAATGTGCTTTGAGTGGCATTATGGGTATTTTCTTCCCACAGAATTAGCACTTTTTAAAGAAGAATGTGAAATTTAACAAGATAAATATCATCTTTGCTGCTTCATAATAGTTTTTATTTTTACATGCCAAACAACTTTTTGTATAGCTGCCAAAAACTGTGTTATTTTGTGTTGCTGGCATTAGTAACTTTTTTGGTTGTGGTTCACACTTCTTCATGTGACTATTATTTGCCTTATTTGTCTGATAAAGACAATTATGTTCTACTAAGAGAGTTATAAATCTAAAGAATAGTTTTGCAAGCAAAAATTTGATGGGGTACTGATGCAGAGGGTTGACCAATGTACAGGAATTTGCTTGCTTAACCAAAGGTATTGTCCATACCTATCATGCCTACTAAGCAGAACAAGGGCACTAACTATTGACAAGGAAAAGCAGACGCCTGAATCTACTGTTAAGGGGGAGAAGCAGATGGTTTATGTCTGGAACCAAACCCTAAGGCCATACATGAAGACTAAAAGGTGAAAAGTTCAAGAAGAGGAAGACTCATTTACTTCAACTTGAAGACCCCTACCCACAGGAGGAAGACTCATTTACTTCATCTTGAGACCCCTGCCCATGACCAGAGGGGGCACTGCACAGGCGCAAAGGACCTTCTAGCTCATTGTAATACGAAGTGGGGATAGGACATGAATATGTATAGGCGTATGGTGCAACCTTATAAATGTAGAGGGAAACAACACTAAGGCACGCATGACTTTGAGGAATTATCCCCGTGCGTCTTAGCGCTGAATAAAAAGCATACCTACTTTACAACTTTTAATGAAAAAAAAAAAAGTTTGTGTTTTGCAAGTATGTTGTGTGTTTGAAGGTGGAGAGAGAATGCTTATGTATTTAAGGTACAAACCCATGAGACCTTAACACTTCACGCTTAACTGTAATGCTGACATATTTCAAATCCCTGTTTGTCAATTAACTAGTTGCTAGCTTTTATTAGAACTCTAATTTCTATTAACTGTATGCTTATTTGAATTCCTAGCATCAGAAACGCTGAAGTAATTTGAATGGCATGAAAAGTTTCTTTTGTGCGCTGCAGATTGAAAAGGTGTTAAGCATCCTCACAAAAAAGGGTGTAACATTGTCCTTGGTCTCAATACTTCTGTCTATTTTGTAACACTTAAGACTGTTACCTTGTAGATCCTCCTGAGCACTAGCAAGCCAGGTGTTTAATCTTTGTATAGGTCTACTTCTTTTTATTATACTATTGGTTGTAGTTTACTGAGTTGCATAAAATGTAAGCTGTTTCTACTCAGGAATATTGTAGAGCTGAGATTAAAGCTGCACTTCTCTTTGGTGCTCTTTTTTATGTGGAGTATAAGGAAGCCTTTCTGTTTGTTCTGTGGATGCTGAACCTGATCTGACACTAGTACAGTTCATGGTTGGTTTTCAAAGTATGATTTTTTTTTTTTTGAGGGGGTAGTTTTTGCACTGGTAGCCTTCTGACATCTGTGCATTGCGTTTAGCTGTGATTCGTATGTATAAAATGTGGGTTTATAACAATCACAAAAAATGTACAGTCTTGCTTTGCTTTGTAGAGTTTACCTTTTAAGAGGCAGCTATAGGATGCAGATTTTCGTTCTGTTCTTTGTGGTACTAATGGGAACTGAACACCATTTTAAAAAGTTAACAGTAAAAGTGCAATTGTGTAAAGTTAATTTTTAATACTTAAAAACTTTACATTTCTAAACATAAAACTGTTGATGTAATGTTTTGTAAGTACAGTATCATTATTGCCATCTTCGGGCAACAAAAAGAGTGATTCGTTATCAGAGTCACAATCCAGCATTCTATTTACAGAGGGTTTGGGCTTATACTGTGGAGCATACTGTAGAGTACAGTATTTTTCCTAGTTACAACATTGCATTTACCTATTGGGGTCATCTTTTTTTTTCAGCCATGTCAAAAATGTGCTTACTTGTTCCAGCAAGCTGTGGTTGATAAAAAGCTAACTGTTAAATGATATATTTCATTTGAATGATAAAACACTGATGTATAAAGAGCTACTTAGAAAAGGCAGATTTTTGGGTTTTTTTTAAAACCCTTTCTCTTCCTGGTGAAGGCTTTTTCAGGGATTATGTAACAGCATTACAGATTTTAAATAGATGTCAGCAATTAATAGGACAAGTGAGAATTATGCACAAGATTGTAGAGGTATCAGATAAAATTGCAGTGCTGAAATGTAAAGAATGAAAGTATAGACAGTTTGCTAGAAAAAAAAGTGTCTTTAATCAGATTTAAACCTAGAGATTATTTTTTTCTTAATTTATGATGAAATTCAGGAATCTTGCCATTCTGTATTCTCTCTCTTTTAAACATACTTAGTTTGCTAGTATTTGCTAGACTACAATGATTATTCTTTGCCAGAGCTTTCTTCCAGGAGGATTCCTAAGTTCTGATGCCATGTTCTTTGAAATGAAATAGCTCAATGCGTAAATCAAATCTACCTAGTGTTTTAACAGAAATATTAGTAGCTGACCCAAGAATGTTGGGATCTAGCACCTCCATCGTCCTCTAGTCTCTTTGATATACTTATTTTTCATAAAATCATTTTTTAACAGGTACTCTAAAATGACATTATGACATTTAATAATGACAGTTATAGTCCATAAAATGGGTAAAATATGCTATCCATATTCAATGAAATGTTATTTGTGTACTGAAAATTGAAGGTAAGAAATAGCTATAGAACAGGTACAGAAATCAGTATCTTCTGCTACTAAAATGGTGACTTTGAAAATGTTATGGAAGTAGTGGACGAGCTACATCAGTTACAATATCTTCTCCTTGCTTTGTATCATTGTCAAAACAATTTTTTCATTCTGAAATCTGTGCATGGTCTGTAAGACCCAGGCTTTTAACAGAAAGTTTAAGGAAAGGAAAATGCATTGTATGAGCAAGTACTTGAGTGTAGAAGTTGGTTCCAAAAATAACAATGAACACTTGAACTGAAATTCTCAGGAAGGATGAAGCCTGAGAATTGGCCTGAAGATGCAGAAAGCTTTTGGGAATACGTCAACAAATCTTTCTCCATTTCCTGGAGTTGGCTAGTTGTTTTCAACATCCTTTTTGGTAATGTGCTTCATAATATAAACTATATGCTGACTTCTATACATAGAAATTGAATAGAAAAAGCAATTAATTTTCATGTCTATAGCATTCATATGTATAATTATATGTACATGGAGATATAGTTCCCTTCCTTACACATGTGTACATAATATATAATGTATAATAAGCTTATAATATTCTGTGTAATACATTTATGTATACATTTAAAACAATAACCTGTAAGTAATCTATGTCTTCTATTTACATATCCATGAATGTTTCCTTTGACCTGAATAGAAACACTGCTAGAATACATAGCTACAGACTGAACAATATTTACTCCTAACCGTAACATTAGTTATCAGAGATGTTGGGACTTTATTAAAGTTTACTTTATGTTCTCACCAGGGCATTTTCATGTAACTTTGCCCCATTAGTTCCTGTGGGGCAAAGTTGATTCTCATTCACCTGTTTCAGTAACAACTCTTTAAATACAAGTGCCCTCATTTTTGTTAGACATACTAATAGTTTTAGGTACTGGGGAAGGAGGGAATGTTTGGGGGGGGGAATCCAGTACATTTCTCCCTCTCTTATTTTTTTTTTTTCCCCTCTTATGTCAGAAACAATTGTTCTACTGGATCTAATTACTAGCTGTTAAGTAGGTATATTTCCTGTAATTCATTTCATCCCAAGAGGAAAAAGTATGCTAGTGATTATCTGTAGTGTCTTAACATGCATCCTCCTAATGGAAAACTCTTTATTTTTTATCATCTTACCTTGTGCATGAAAAACATAGATGAGATTACCTTCAAAATCCGGGGTAATGGCACAATGTGTATCTAGTTGTTAACTTACTGAGGAAATGTCTGTTCTGTGTTTCCTTCTATCACTTGATGTGCTTATTTCTACATTTTTCTTAGAAGGCCAGGGATGGGGTTTTTAATTTGCTACTTGAGAAGCAGTGTGGATGAATGGCTTACTTAAAGACTGTTTTCATACCTCCTATCAATACGTAACTTATATTTACAATTAACTTGATCATGCAAGTGGAGCCATTGATTCGTAACTTGACTAGGCATATGTCTAGACATCTTCTTGTATTAAGGCCTCGGATTGGAAGAGAACCAGTAATTGTTATCAGCCAGAAACAAATTTTATTTCGAGATGCAAGGTAGTATTCCAGGCTCTGGTCCAATAGATAATTTGGAACCTATTTCCATGTATTCCTCTGAGTATGCTTCATGCTCAACTTCTAAGGCATGTGGCATGTGGATAATGCTTATGTGTGAGCAGCAATGAATATGTTTAAAAGTAATTTTACAGTGCAAGTACCTGTTAACTGTAAGTTCCCAGAAGCAGGTAACAACACTTAGAAAGAACAATAATTTAGTTAGTTTTAAGTTTTCAGACATTCCTTCCTCCTTCTGAAGGCATATCTTAAAACCCGTATTCCCTGATATGAGATACTGGACTTAGTATTCTCATCCCATGTTGTTCATGGAGTCTAGGTTAGAGTTCACAGCAGCAACAAATACTAGGCTAGAAATACTGTATTACAAACTGCCTAGAAATTTTTGAGTTTACATATTAATAGAATAATATCTGTCATCCTCAAAGACTGAATAGTGGAAGGAATGAAATTGGCCTCTTGGTAAGCTGCATATGGATGTCTGTCTGGGGTTCAGAGGTGATTTGATTTGCCAAAGGGCAGTAATGGTACTTGTGTTTTCTAGTCCCCTGCTGCTGGAATGGCTATCCATGATGCAGTATGTTTATAAATAAAACTGTTCTATCTGCAAGCTCAGCCTGGGATGTAAAGTCAAGCTGTGTTCTTTCAGGCTTGAACATCACCACTAATTGAGCTGCTGCTGGAACTTGGTCAAGAATTCTGTTGATTCAGAAGCCAGTAAAGACTCTCAGAACTATGTTTCAAGTATGAGTAAAAGTTTATTTATATCAGCCAACTGATTATGCAGGCATACAGATCAGATCATTTAAATGAAGGAAGATGCAACTTTCACAAGTTACTCCTGGTTATTATCTTGCTGGGTCAAGAGGGGCTCCCATTTGCACCTCAGGGGATTATTTTGCAATTTCAAGCTATATGTATGGTATCTATTAATGTACTGGAAACACAAAACTTCTAAGAGAAATATTTTTTACCTAATAACTAATTAGTGTTCAGGAATAAATCCTGTTTGTCAAATCTTAAACAACTCAAGAAACAAACTCAGCAGCTCATGCAGGCAGAACTGGTAAGCAAAGTACACTTGAGCCATGTGACTCAAGTCTGGAAGAACAGGTATGTATGCCTTGGACTGTCATTTTTTGGTTTTTTTTTTTTTTTTTTTTAGTCAGATGTACTTCTAATATGTCATTTTTAATAGTGACAAGGGTGGTTGTGTTCTCTAATGTGATCCTAAAAATATATGCTTCTTTCTTAATTTAGCTGTGCCATTTCATGCTGAAGCTCTACACAGTACTGGGATTAATCTGTCTGAAACTAGTGCTGGAAACTCTTCAAGCCTTGTCATGATCCATTTCATTATTTAACTTTGCTGCTCAAGTTTTTCAGAAAGCTTAGCCTACATTTCCCTTGCTGATGTTTAATGCTGTTATGCCCCGTTCAGCAGTACATAGAAAAAGATGCCTCTCTACCTTTTCTTAGGATAATCTGTGTTTTACCATGGCCACATAAATGGAGCAGTCTGTTTGGTTCCTTGTAAACAGAAGCTGTTTATGAAAGCCTTCTATACACCATCATAGGAGATGTGAAAACCATGAATGCTTTGAATTCATGTGCATGTGATTGTCATGTCACTTCAGCAAACATTTATTCTAATATTTTAACTCTATATGACTCTGTTACTTCCCCACAGAAAAGTTCAATCATGGTGATTTCTAAAAGGTTATTATTAACTAGGGAATACAGTCAGTTTAATAAGATCTCTTATTGGACATTGGGATTGTAGGAATACACAAGAAAAAACAAACATGCTTAAATTTAGCAATTATATGTCTAAAATAAGAAAAACACTTCTGCAGAAAGCCTCAAAAATTGGACATTAAGCATTAGAGAAAAGATCTTTATGGAAAATTTTAATAGAAATTAAGTAGATTAGAAATTTTGAAGGGAAAACTTTTACATCCTTTTGCAAAGCTTTATAGCAGATTTAATAAAATTCTCATACAACTGATAGATCTCCAAAATAGCTGTTCATGATCCTGGTGAGTGTTTGGAGAAGCTGATATTCTGTTGTGTGTTGCGTTGTTTTGCTTTTTACATATGTCCACCTTAACTGTGTCTTAAAAGCATTTTTGATGTTGCCCTCTTAAGTGACCTGTAAAGAGTTAATGATAATAAATTAGACTAAAATCCTTTCTTTACTAAAGATTATAAGTAGTTTACTAAGTTCTCTATCACTTGCATGGTTTTGTATATATAAAATTATAGCTTAGGCAGCTGCAAGTGAATGGCTGCTAATTCATCTGGTTACTCTGATCTTCCAGGTTTAGGAGGTTTCTCCATCATGTCCTTTTAAATCTCATCCTCCAGGGTGAGGATTAAGTTCATCCTGCATTGACTTGCTATTGTTGTAGCAAGGAAGGCTCATAGTTCTCTTTGGAGTTTTTTACATGCTCTGGATAGGGTTGTTCTGTAGCTCTGAAGGCTACTCTGAAGCTTTCTAAACCTTTTTGCCATGAGGGAGAAGAGACCTACCTTGACCTTAAACATATGTACATATACTTTCCAAAGTGACCTGGCAAAGGTGTTGATCACCTCAGCTTGCTGTACTGATTTGAATGCAAGAGAACAAGACCAATCGTCAATTGTGTCCTTCTTTCATTTGCAGAAAAAGTGTTAAAAAACATTAAGAAAACCCTCAAAATTTTTCTATGCGAATAATTAAGCAGTAAAACGATCAGCAGAGGGCAGTATTGAGGTATGAATAAAATAATGACAAAATTGACATAAAAAACACGTGTTGCCATGTGTTTTCAGTTTCCCTTCATAGACTCACAGAATAATTTATGATGATAGGTGTCTGTGAAGGTCATTGGGTCAATCCTGTCTCAGAAAGCCAAATTCGAAGTTAAATACAATCAATATGGTCATGGTAATGTGTCTACGTTGTTGAATATTGTATAGTAACCTGCAATCAGATCAGTTTTCTCTCCAAACCACTTTTATAACCTGTTATGAGACTGGATGGAAAGCATGCCCAGTGCTGAAGTGTAGTTAATTTGTCTGGATAATACTGGGGGGGGGGGGGGGAGTGTAGCTATTTTTGCTTGCAAGGTCTTGAAATAGTGTTTTTTAACAATTGCTCTTATGTGTTCCATCAACTTTAATAATAATAGGCAAGCATGTTTAAAAAAATAATAATAAAAATTTCACTGAGTATTTTGTCTGTTGCTTCTGCAAGGCACGATTGACCAGCATGGTTGTATCTATGTAGCTTCTGTTGAAACTATGTCATATCGTTGGTTTGGGGTTTTGAAAGTATAGTGTCTATAGTATTTGCTACTAATAGTGTGATTTTTATTATTTTTTTGTTGTTGTTGTGTTGTTTTTTGTTTCTTTTTTCCTGCACCTTTGAGAGCTGAGATAGTGACAGAAAGAATTTATAAAAGTGAACATTGCTCTCACATTTAAAAACTTTTTCAAGATGTGCTGGACTGAATTTGTGAACAGATTTATAGAAACTGGAGCCTTCTCCAAATCAGTAAGCTTTAATAAGGATTTTTTCTTTTTTTAGTATAAACAGTTCTAGCCTGTCATCATTACTTGAATTGATTCCAGTTCCTTTTTTTCCAATCTGCTTGCTTATGTTAGCTAAAATTTTATTGGCTAAAATGGTGAACTGTTCAGTTTTGTAGGATACAGCAGTTTCCTTTAGTTTATCCAATTCTGCAGTGCTTTTCAAGAGTGTATTTGAGTCAACATTGCAGATTTCTGAGCTGTGGAACAAACGCCTATTGTAAAATACTAAGCATAATGCTATGTTGCTGAGTTTAGTGGCATTCATGTCACATAAAAGCAATTTTGACATTTACTTAAACCATTTAGATGCACTAGGAATTTGTAAAACTGACTTTAAGATGAATGTTTTACTACTGTCTTCGGTCTGAGTAGTATTGCAACTCAGTGTCCAGTTTTCAATCTTTTTTTGATAAACTTATTTACAGTGTTTATTCAGAGACAATATTTGTGATTCTACATATTAAATAGAGCTGCTAAAAGGAGAATATGTGTGTTTAAAATTCTTTTTGCTCCTGGAAAAGTGAATGCCAAGAGCATTCTAAAATCACTCCTATGAGTAACACTAATGTTGGCTCGTTCCAGTTTACCCTCAGCAGGAGTAAGTCACAGAGAGCTTGTTGTCATCTTGAAAGTACTTCCCCCTCTAAATTAAACCAGCAAGGTTTGAAAGCTGTTCAGTTAGAATTCTAGCTCTTCTCAAACGGTTAGCTACCCCTTTAAGATAAGCAGCTGGAGTTTAGTAAAATAGGCCGTTTAGATTCTTGGCAACTATCCAAACAAATTAGTTTCAGCTAGCTCAGTCAAATGGCTACAGGAACCACATACAATTTTGAGTGTTGCTGTGCATATCCTTGCGAGAGAAAATACCAGTTGGTGTGGAATTTGGTGAATGCTATAAGTTGCTGCAGGGACCTTAGGTGGATGCAGACAGAGCCTGAAATGTTCTGTTACTGGTATCCAGCACAGCTTCAGTATATAGCATGTATTTTGGCTATGATGAGAACTTTGGCAGGGATTATATGATGTTTTATAAGTTTAGTTACAGTGCTTCAAAGCCTGTACAGCTTGGGTGGGCCAAGCTCACATACCAGTGCTGTGCTTCCCAGTATCTCCAGTTCCTGAAGCAGCATGAGAATGCTCTTTCTGCCACTGTTAAAATATCTGAGTGTAGAAGTTGGAGGCAGGTCCAAAATGAGTAGACAATATATTTTTGCCACTGATTAAGTTTTCATCTTTGTGGATGGGAGTGTTTGTCATGTAGGAATAATACAAATTCAGAAAATGTACTCCTTATTAGTATAGTTTTTTTTTAAACATAGCAAGTATTTTTTAAAAATCTGAAATATTCTTAGTTTCAGAATGTTAAAGATCTTTTTTGTTTGTTTGTTTACATAACATCAGTGGGGAATTTTTTCATTTGATTTCAGTAATAAATATTTTGTATTAAACATGTGGATCAGTAATACTAGCTGTAGAACAGAGGTAAGCATAAACATCTGTGAGAGTAATGCAATAGTAATGTGTGATGGAAGATGATGGCATGGAAGTGAAAAAGTATTTCTTCAGTGAGTTTTAAATGGTGTACAGTGTGAAAGATTTGGGGCTTTGCAAGGTACAAAAGAGGAAAAATCAGTTTAGGACAATGTTAATGATAATACTGTCTTTTCTGGGTATTAAGACTATATGATAGCTGGGCTTAAAGCAACACAATTCGTAACTTGCCGGTCCCAGTAGTGCTAATGTGGGAAGGCTGTAAACTTGTATCTCTCCTGCACGAAATGCAGCTCAGAAGGGTTTATTGGGGACAATGATGAGGGTCTGACCAAACCTTAACAACATGGACCTTATAAATGGCCTTTGTTTAAATTATTGCTCTTAACTCCCAAGGTACAGTGGTGAACACCATTGTAAACAATAGCACATTAAACACTCCTGCTGACCATCCTTCTTGCTGGGGGTATTTGGAATGTTCTTGGTGAAAATGAATGCAAGGTTGTGCATTGCATCATTCACTACTGAAAAGAGTTGGGATGCATGAAATTAAGTGGGAAAATGGCTGAATTATACCTGGTAGACTGCAAAAGGAGGATTTCCCTAGGGCTTTCAGAGCAAATCTACAAAATCACAGAAGTAACTATTTTGGCCATGACCTTGTGAGAGAGAGGTTA